TCCTTGCGTTAACAGCAGCTGGGCCATTTTATGTTCCCATCCATACAGGAGTATTGTGGGCAAAGTCCCAGACATACATCTCAACAGCTGTGGAGCCAACGTCCCACCTTGGTTTCTCATGCAAGGATGGCTTTTCCAGGAACAAAGATATGACTTAAAACGTTGTATTTGATATAGTTCATGCTCTATGGCCAAGATGCTCTTTGTTTGGAATCTAAAATGCCCTCTTCCTTGCAGTAATGGTAACTGGCATTTTCGTGGCAGCACTGCATCTGCTTTAGTTTCATGGTATCTTCCAGCTGTTTCATATTGAACTATCCTTGGCTCAGGAAGCTTGTTAGATACTAGGACTAGCGCATGTCTGAGGCAGGAGGAGGAGATTGGCTTTTTGTCCTTCAGTCCACAAATCTGAACTGCAGTTCTAACAAAGTGTAGGCTGTGTTGAAGTCTAATGCCTCTAAGGAAAGATCTCAAGAACCCATTAGGATTTTTATTTTTGAATTGGTTCTAAGCTTCTGCAGAACAGAAACATACCAACCTGGGTGGGGACAGACACCAGTATCTTTAAGATAAGGTGGCAGTGGACACCAGTATCTTTAACATAGGGTGGCAATGAAAAGCACCCCTAAAGTCTGTGATGCAGCTTCTCCCTTGATAAGTCCCCATGCTGATGTCTGTGCCGTCTTTACCCTAAGTCCCACTGCTATCAGTGGGAACAGAGATCGAGGGAATAGCCAGCACATTCCTCAATTCTGCTTAAATCTGACTGCTGGGAACAATTTTAAATGGCTCTGAAACTGCTCTAACTTACTCCAGGAAGTGGACTTGCCACCAAAATTGACTGACAAAGTGCTTTTGTGTATGTGTTTATGTGAGACATACTGTGATCAAAACCTGTGGGATGCTATTTTAAGACTATCAAATAATCTAAAATCTTGCTGGTGAAAAAGACAATGAAAGCTGATGTACCTATTTGCATTAACAATTTGTATCTTCTGATGATGATACAGCTGTCTTTATATACTAGCTGCCTATAGTATTTTGTATTACATTCACGGAACACTTAGGTGATAGTAGAGGCCAGCTAAAAGTAAGTAGGCAAATTTTGTGTGCAGGGCAAACCTGGAGTCAGTTTTTGGTGGCCAGCAGAGAAGCAAGGGTAGGAGGAGGAGCATTGCTCCTCCGAGAGCATCGCCACTGAGTAGATGGAGCTGAACTCTTGTGTTTGTATGTGCATCCAGATGCAGCTCAGTGAACCCACAGGAGTCAGTGGAACCCAAAGATGTTCAGTTCCATGTTTACCTGTGGCTCTATTCATTTATATTATACAGCTCCGATATAACCGTAGTCTCTACCCTACCTGCGTGGCTGTCCCACTGTAGGTGCTCTCAGCGGACTTCTGTTCCCACTCCATGTTGTTATCCTTGTTCTTCCCTGCTACCGCTTTCCTGTCTTCCTGATCCTCAACCTCATTCCTGGTTCTTGGCCACTACTACTGCCTCATGCTATTCTATTTTTTATATCCTCTCTTTTTGTCTGCCATTGGATCAAAGTCCAACTCACGCTCTAACAGTCCTGTTCCTGTTCTTAATTCATGAGCATGGTGTCACACATGTGAAAAGTGTTGATGGGATCTTGTCTGTATAAATAGATAACAGCCTATGAGGGCATGGAGAGTATTCATGACCTGCAATATAATAAAATCAAAAGTTTAAGCCATTATGACAAGAGAATAGAGGTATATAAAGTGTGGCAAGTATAAAAAAGTGATTCACTAGGATTCTGATGAAGTGGATATCAGGAACAGAAAACTAGGAAGGAAGGGTATAGGAATGGATGACAAAGTTCCTTAGATTCTGAACCAAGGAAAGCGATCTGTAAAAGGGTTATTGTTCTTTGAAAGATATTTTACTTAAAAAGAAAATTTGCTTGTTCAGTACTTTAGTCATTAACAAACACTGGCTTTTGCCTGGGCAAAAGTACTTGTGATATGTAGGTGGTGGAAAGCATCAGAACACACCCAAAGCATGAGGGAATCCAGTCAACATTCACAACTTCTCGTCTACTCATTCTCTTATGTATGCTAATTAGTCAGTACCTAACACTGTGGAGGACCATGTGCATGATGTGTACAGTGCATGTATTGACTATTCACTGCACGCTTGAATACATGGCATCTGTTTCTGGTATCTGCAGAGCACCTTATCTGTAAAAGTCTGTGCTGCATGGGCTTACACTGCATGCTGTTCTGCTCAGTAAATGGTGGGTTGCATGTACTGCATGTATGCTGCATAGTCTGTTCTATATACAGGGGTTCCTTTAAAAGATAAGTATTCATCGTTACTGGTGGATAAGTTATTCTTCACTTCCCTTCCTAAAAACACTGTTGTATAGTGTTGCTGGCGCAGAGTGGCAGCTGCGTTACGCCCCAGAGGTCGCTACATTCCAGCGGTGGGTGAGTGACCCCTATATATACAGTTTGTAAAGTGCTTTGGGATCCTTCTGGATAAAAGGCGCTATATGAAGTTCAGAATATACTTACTATTCATTTACTGTCTTTTATTCCAGCCACACCCAAACTCTGAAAGATAAAGCTTTGTACCTTCCCACTACAGAGAGCTGTAGCTGCCCACTTCAGAAACAGAATCCCCTGCTCTAGCAAGGTATTCAGGGAGGCTGTTTAGACCCTGCTGCAATTTCAGGCAAGCTTATTCTAGCATCCAATGGTGTTTCTGTTTTCTTCTGACTGTGCAAGGTATTTACACATCTGGCTCCCAGTTCTACTGAAGGGAGTTAAACAAATTGAGTCCGTTGCACACAGAGAGAATAACAGAATCCCACCCTGCCTGAGAGCTAAACTGGCAACAGACAGTAAGGGCATTTTTGCGCAGTGGCATAAAAAAAACTTTTATTATACTATTGCACATAGGCTACAGTGATTTAAGAGCTGAATGCTTGGAATAGATGGGAATATAAGGAGTTTGTGTTTTATGGGAAAATTTACCATTTTTCCATTTTTTTTTTCCATGAATGGAAATTCCAAAACTGTTTTAGAAACATTGACACATCGTGTTTCTGAGATCAAGTGTGCTGCTGGGACTTGGCAGTTGCTAAGTGGAATTGTTATAATTCTTCTCAGCTTCACAGCTGCTCATGACTAAGTAGCAGCAGGGAGCCTGCCTCTTGCAAGACCTGGGCTGCTGACCCTAAAGTTTGGATGCCCAGGTGGCCCCGGCATTGCAGCCATTCAGAGCTGGGAATAAGGAGAGAGCATGAAAGGACACACTGAAAGCTAGGGGCGTGGGGCTTCACATGGAGATCCCGGAGAAACAGGACTTGCGTTTTCCTTCCCTGGGGCCGCAGCCTCCCCACCGAGGAACCAGGACCAAAGGTGGGAATAGAGCCAGAGCTCTCTGTGCCTCCCTGGTCCTGATTTTTCATCAGAGAGAGGGACAGACCCTTGATCCCTAGCCTGAGGCAGTCCATCTGGTGGGGCTGAAGTCCAGCCTCACAGGCACATTGCAGGTGCAAGACCTCCACGATAGTTAAGTGACTTACAAATATATTGTACGAATTACCTGACAGATTTGAGCTGAATGGACAGATTAGTATCCCTGCAGAGGCCATGCACTTCCGGCTGTTCTGGAGTAGCAGTTCCTGCAAGATATTTCACATACTGGCTTCAGCATCTTTCTCAGAAGATCTCTCTTCTGAAACCTGCCTTCCCCTACAGGACACATGCATTAGCAGACAGTATCTTTCCAAGCTGGCATGACCAAGCGGGTTGCAGAGCGATGAGTTAACATTTAGAAGGGCCCCACCAAAATAACTAGGGATGGTATACATTGCAAGACCTCATAGTCTCAAACGTCCCTAAGCTATTCTTGCTGGGGAAATCCTCCTCTGACACAAATTCTGGACTATCTGCCCTAACCTAGCACTGTGGAGAGGACTTAACTCTACTCCTGTATGGTTTCTGAGGCCCATCCTTCGGTGTGATAAGTTTAAGCAGTTCCTAGGCTGCTTTAACTAATGCCAAAAATCGGCTCAAACACATTCTCAGATTCAAGGGGCCCAAGCTACTCCACACCAGAAGAGGATATGTCTCTCGTTTCTGGTGGGATGCTAGTGGAGAGCTTCAACATGGATGAAGGTGCTCTAGGAGTGGGTGAGTGCTGGGCTCCATGAAGTTCTTTGTTTCATACACGGTCCCTATCGCACTGGTATTTCTCATAGTAAAGCATGATACCTTGCTTAGGAAGCAAAATTCTCAGAAAATAAAGTGGGTACAGATAATGTTGATTGTAATTGGGCTGTAGCTCTGATCTGTTCCCATAGTAATACACCCTGAAAGAGAAAAAGGCAAGGATTATCAAATGTAGATAAACCTAATCCATGGTTTGAACAGCCTGCTTATCTGTGATCAGCAGTAACAGACAGTCACTGAGTTTAACTTGCTAGTCAAGCCTTACAAGAGGAGTGGGGCCCACTGTGCAGTATTTTGGAGGTAACTCTTGAGACTGTGCTGGTTACAGTGGGTGAGCACTGTGCTGCGAGTGAGTAGCCACCTGCATCCTTACCCACAACAGCCTTGTTCTACCTCCGGTTTTCAGTCTGTGTCAGCACAGAATTGATGGAATCCTCCTCTGCATTTTGTGTGCTAATTTAAGTGAAATTTAAGTCCATTATTAGTTTATGTGTCTGTGTTTGTTTTGTGTTGAACTAAGTTATTTTTCTTTATGGTTTATGTTTTTAATCTGTTTCATATTTAACTTCATTAATTTATGTTACTTATCCTTTGTTTGCAATGTATTTTTCAAGAAAAAAATCTAATAAAAAGAATATTTTAAAAAGACACAGAAATAAAATTGCCCTAGGATCTCCAATGTAAAGTAACATGGAAAAAAAAAAAAGTGACGTAAGGTCTAGGAGCCTGGAAGTCTCTTTCTTCAAGAGGAAAGCTTGGTGGCAGGACATGGCTTGCCCACTGCTGAACTTCTTGTAGTGCGTTAGCTACCAGGTACAAAGCACGAGCCATGCCTGTCTGTCACCATGTGAAAAACCTCAGATTCACACTGATGAAAGAAAAATTGTTTTGTCTCCAGCACAAAGACGCAGACCAGCCATCCTCTGCTGGACAAGGAACAGAGGGAAGGGGCAGTGCTGCTCCAGAGGAGATGGCTGCTCCTCCGGGAAGGTGCTGCTCTGACCAGAGCAGACTGGGCAGCAGGCTGGGAAAAGGGCAGCACCTCGGCAGTAAGGAGGGGTGAAAAACAAGAAGCGGAGTCAACTATAGCAGGCAAAGTGCAAAGCTGGTGGGTGGAGAGCACGGAGGGAAACAGTCAGCCTGGGAGCACTTTGGTCTGTGTTGATATGAGGAAAAGGGAGCCTGTGCTGAAATACCAGAAGCTTCCCACATGCTTCCTCCCCCCTTCCGGCAGCCCCAAAACTCCCTAGGGGAGAGCTCCTGCCTGGGCAGTCAGGTAAGTTGCTGCCAAAGTGCATGGTGAGTGCTGATTAGTGCATGCCAGTGGTGGCTAACGTCTGCATGTTAGATAAATGAACCGCACTCCATGCTGGGCAGAGCGCACTAACAGTGTGTGAAACCACAGGTACAAGACAAAACAAAATTTTCTATTTAAAAGTTTAAAAAAATTTAGTTCACAGCCTTTGTCTTCTCTCCCGCCTGTGCAAAGTGCTGGCTTTGTTAGCCGAGTGGTTAGCAAAGAGCAAGATGGAAACTCTCGTGGTTCATTCAGGACATCCGGCAGGAGTGCTGCCTCCTTTTTGTGTGGAACATTAATTTTTTTATCTTGTTTGACTTCTTGCCTGTGTTTAATTGCTGCATTCTGCTTCATTAAAATAGTTGTTAATTGCATTTTACATTTTAATTTAGTAGCTGCTCAGCAAAGGTTCAGGTATTAAAGATGCTAAGCATCTCCTCTGACCTACGGGTTAAGCTTCACTTCAGCGGGCCGCAGCGAGGCCCCTGATGGTCAGCAAATGGCAAGATCTAGTCCACTGCCCTACAGTTAGCTGAGCAATAGGATGGGCTGCATACATGGACGTCTAATTCTGACGGGGAACTGCAGGAGGTTTCTTAAGAATTCCCTGAAATTTTCTTGGGTTACTCCAAATTCAGACTTTCCACTGCCTCTAAAACTGGGGCTATTGTCCTGCCAGTGTTCAAGGGCAGCAAATTTGTTCAGCTGCATGGACAGAACTGGAAGATACCTTTACCTAGATGCAATGAATCTGCATGTGATCTTGCCTGAAAGCTGTATTACAGCTTAGCTGTTTGCAGGGAATAACAAAAAAGAAAATGTTTCTCAGTTCAACAGGACACACAACATATGCCCTACAACATATGCCCTACTGCTAGCGCTATGCTGTCTGAGTGACAACAGTCTGGATTTTTAGTTGTTGCAACCCTAATTACCAGTGACAAATATTTTGCGACTGGAAGATTAGATATAAAAAGTTTACTCCTTAAGTCCACTCTAACCTTGCCTTAAGTTATTCAATTTATGTGTATGGCAGAGGATAAGAAGCTCTCTAGTGTACTGAACTTAAAATCGTATGCTTTCCAAATCCCCTGCCAGCACAGCTTAGGTGAAATTTCTCCTGGAAATAAGGCATGAATTGCTGACATTTTCTTTCAGTGGGAAAAAGAAAGGTACAAGTGTGGGAGAGGGAGGGTGATTTCATGCTAAACAAAGACATCTGGAAGGAAAAAATCATGTATTTTGGTTGCAACTTTATTAAGAAATTACAAGCTTTTTGTGCCAAACTATCACATTGTAATAATCTGAAACATTCCTCGCTCTATCAAAGATTTCACCAAGGGGATGCCGACTGAGCATGGGGGTCAGACCCAAAATGACCTCTTAGGCCGAACTTTTTTGGCCATGTATTGCACCTGACTATGAACTGCTGCAACTGCTTCCAGCTCCTCACAGCAGTCTGTCACCCGACTGACTCCTGCGTCTGTGCTGGGCAAGCCTCAGGGCTGGGTGACGGTGTCGGAGTGAGTCCTCAGTGCAAGCGGTGGCAATGGCCACCTCCTCGTTAGCTCTGCAGAGCAACCACGCTGCACACGCAGCACCATGACCTGTGCGAGCAGCCAGGGCTGCAAATAAACCTCTGCCAGGCCAGGCTGGCAGCACCTCGAAGCGATGTTTTGAAGCTGATCCTTAAAGGTGGGCTTCATCCCTTGCAAAAAGAAGAGCAGGTCATACCTCGGCGGACGCAGCCTACCCTCACCCGTTCTGCGGAGCTCCTGCTGCCTTTACGGGATGCACATTTCTCTTAAAGCCGCAAAAGGTGATTGCGCTAAGGCACACTGATGTTGTCTTGGACCCTTTGGCCATCAGCCGTCTCCTGCAAGCAGTGGAGGGTGTGTTTGAAAGGAAAGCTTGGGCATAATGAAGGGATAACTTGCTGGCTGGGGAATGACCAGGTATACCATCACAAAAGAGCCATCGCATGACCTATGCTTTATTTTATATTTGCCAGCTAAGCAAATGCAAAATGAGGCACTAAGGAATGTTTTGTATGTTTGTGATTTTTGTCTACTGATGGACTTTGAGCCTATGAAGCAGTGAAGGGCTAAAAAGGGAAACATAAATACCAGGGACAAGCCCCTCAACTGGTGTAAATCAGCAGCAGTTCTCTGAAAACAACTGACTTATGTTGATTAACCTCAGCAAGTGGATCCTATCCAGTATTTTTCCCTGTGATATGATATTTAACACTCTGTTGTTCATTTTAGTAACAGGAAACAGATACCAATTTTTCCAAAGTACTGCAGTTTTCCCCATTCCTTTTTTTTTCTTTTTTATAATGAGGATGTCTAAGATGAGAGAAGCTCAAACCAAACACCTGTATCTTAACAACCTCCTGACTGCAGATGTTCATATGATTCAATCCAATACTCTCTGCATTGGGTTGAAACAAAAACCCATACATAAATATGCCTGTAGTTGTGGGCCACTTTGGTGTCCAAGCTGACCATTACACTTCAGTTCAACGTTCTTACTCATAGTCAAAAAATTCACAGTATTAATCTATGTATGTAATTCCAGGGACCCTTTCATCATCTGTCTAATCGCAGAGGTAGATATGACAGCCAATTAGCCAACATCACTGGCTGTTTCTTACTGTCCTGAAGTAGAACTTGCATCCATCTGCTTGCACGTCCCTGAACACCATGCTGTTCAGCACCTCACATTTTATTGACGCACTTATCTTCCCAGCAACCTTGGCTATGTATTAGGTGACTCATCCAAGCTTGCACGCAGGAAGTTTGCTGCAGAGCCAGAAGCTGGAATGAGGTTCCTAGGCTAGCATCTTTACCTCGAGATCAGGACAGCTGCAGGTGGAGCCCACGGCCTTTGACCGTGAAGCGTAACAGTTGCCACTGGAAACCCATCATGGGGAAGACACAAGATGTCCGGAGCGATTCCCCGCAGCATGTCTCCCACGCAGCCCACCAGCTTCCCCCAGCATCTGTCCTATTTGCAGGCATGTGGCAGCCAGCAGCCCTATTTTCAGACCCACCTTCCCCAGGGGCAGCCTTCCTGCCCTGGGTCTGCTGTCAGCTGCCTCTTGCCCTCTGCCCAGCATGGCACTCTCTCATTTCCTCTTCCCTGTTTGAGCATGTACATGTAAAAACCAGAATTTGATGTGGAATACCATTTACTCATCCCTCCGAGCTGGACCCTGACACAGGGAGCTGGCATTTCCCCAAGCCGTCTGCCTGTAAGAAGATAACATGAGAAAATGACTGTCTCAGATTATTTAAAATCTGACTGAGTAGTTATTATACAAACCCAAGGCTTATTTGAGGTTTTTCTATGGAACTATCCAAATATAGTTTGAAACGAACATTTTTTTCTAAAACTGACCACATTAATCTTCCAGCAATTAACACGCACATGCGCACATCCTGTGTGCGATAGTTTGCTTTGTTTTTTCTTTAAATTTAATTTAAGAACTAATAATTCCTTAGCAGTCTTTCTCTGGTATTCCTCAATGGCCGAGCAGCGACAGCTACAGAGGCAGTGCCGGAAACACTGCCGCACTGCCCTTCAGAGTACTTTTTCACCTCCTAGGGTAGCACTGGGCCAAACCTCCAAGACATACATTCAGAAGTAATAATAATAGTAATCAAGAACTCGATTTACAGCAGGAGAAGGAAAGTTTGCTTTAAACAGCAGTGGGACTGAAGTGTCTGCTGTAAGCTGAAATCTGGGCGAGACGGTCCTTCACGCGATGTGGCACATGTTGGGAATTCTCTTCTAAATCGATGAAGCCTGAAAGAACTACAGTGCTTTGACAATGGCTCTCTCTTCCTAGGCAGCACATTTTAAATGACGAGTGTTTTTAACAGCAGTCTGCCAATATACAGAAAGTGGTAAAGTTAGGCTGAATTTGTGTGTGCAGAGAAGCAGATTATCTGGTAAAGTCCATACAACTGAGTAAAGAAATTAGGCTTCTGTGTAGAACTGTTATAACCTCCTGGTGTATCCCTTAACTGGAAGAGATGAGAAATCCAAGGAAGGGGCTTTGTTTTTTCTTAGAGTGTGAGCTTGTTAAACAAGGTTTATTTCAGAGGACCTGCTAAGTTTTACATTTCAGATTTTCCTACATTTTGCATGTACTCAATTTCATTGTATAGTCTGTTTTTCTTGCTCTTTGTGTGGAGCTTTCTTTCAAACAGCAATGAGTAAGACTTCCTATTAGAAAGGAATTTTTGGCTGAAGGAGGTTGTTTAAGATGAACTAGGTATTCCAGTACTACTCTCTGATATTCTCTGGATGTTCATTTCAGCCAAGACTTTTTTTAAGGAAAAGCATAATTTTTCAAGAAGAAAACTTCCCAAAGAAATTCAACAACTGATGCAATGCATGGAACAACTTTACGTTGCTATTACTTAATTGCAAAAGTATCACCCTTCCTACTGTGTGCGAATGGAGACCTGCTGTAGATCCTCCCTTGCACTTGAGTGAAAGCAGCGGCTGGATGAAGTAAGCCAATGAAGGGATCCAGATACTCAGATGACCTTCTCCCTGCACCTGGTCCTTGGTCCCTCACTCCCTGGAGTCAATGGGAAAGTTCGTGTGGATGCCAGCAGCGTGAGCAAGGCTTCTGTGGCCATGTGCCTCTGTTGGGTTTTGGAGGAGCGCAAAAGGGAAGGAGCCAAATGGGAGTGGACAGCCAGGAGCAAGGAAGCAGATGACTGAGGCGCGCGCAATGTGGTGTGAGAGCAGAGCAGGGGCAGACTAGGCTAGCTCTACAATCATTTTGTGGTTCTGATGGATGTGCACAGATGATATTGATTCAAAACTTAGGCAGTGTGGGAGAGACATCAGAAGTTTCATTATAGCCTCAGTTTCATAGCCCTTACTTATCTGGAGTAGCACTTTGCACATGATACCAGTAGGACTGCTTTGGTCAATGCAAGCAGTGAGCACAGGATAGGACGTTGCTTTGACTAATTCCCATGTGGCAGAGAAAGGCGGCATCTTCACAAGACCGTGTCCTGGGACACATCTGACCATTTTGAGCAGTAGCTTGTCGGAGACCATTAGCTGCAGTCGCCCTTGCAAAACCACACACCTGGGGGAAAAAACACGGGCATTTGCAAGGCCAAGAGCAGGCTGACGTCATGTTTCTCGCCCCTGTGAGCAGGGGGCTGGGGTGGGCAGCCGCAGGCTCCCTCTGCTGCCACGGGGGAAGGGGCCCTGGCAGCCAGACGAGCCTGCGGGGTCTTGGGCTGCTGTTCGGCTCTCTTCTCTCTGTTTGTACATCCCTCTAGGGAAAGTCTCTGGCTGGCAAGCGCCTCACAGGCCTGATGCAGTCCTCCTGACAGCCTCAGCCGAGCGAGCCGCCGCCGACAGCGCCGGGGGAGAGCTGCCTGGGACCTCCACAGAGGACGTTTCGTTTTGGGGAGAATGGGTCACTGTGAGAGAGAGGGAGTGAGAGCAAGGGGAGAGCGACACGCCGGAGACTCCTCTCTTCATAGTTTACATCAACACTTTCTTACTTGTACAGCTTTGTAAGGACACTGAGTTCTGTAAAGGTACTTTGTTTCCTACATGGTTTTGGAGGAGCACACTGCACTGTACACAGACGGTCACCAAGGCAAGGGCTTGGTATCTTATTATTTAAGAAACAGACCCAACCACAACTTAGAGAAAGAAGAGCTGAGAGAGATCAGTATTATTCCTTCATCTCTTCTCTCCCTGGTGCAAACATGGCTGTAACAGAGGCACCGCAATCCCAGTTGCTCCCTTTCTTGTGGCCATCTGAACCCAATAAAATATCTGCTGCAAGCTGCTTCTCCTTTTCACAAAATAGCAAATTCGTTTCTCCTGCAGATTCATTGACTGCTGCTTCATTTTTCTTTCCTGTCTCTCCTCCTTTAAAATAATGATTAGAAAAAGAAAAAAGGCACTATTTAAGTTCTTCATTTGCTGCCTTTCCAACAGCATGTAGCATGTCCAAAGTCAGCCAGCTCCTCAGCTGAAGTCAGCAGAGCGTGAGTGGTTTACATCACCTGAGGATCTGTCTCATTGAGTCAAACTCTCATCTTGGTGTAAATCCTCTGGCACTGGTGGAATTACTCTGCATGTACATTTAGTGCAAATGTGGTCAGACTCTGCCTGATGCTCATTAAGTAATGTTTTAGATGTATGATACAAATATGCACGCACATGCGCACACGCGCGCACACACACACACACGCAGAGTATTTGAGATGTTTTATATTGTACTTGATATTCTATTTATTTAAAATTTTACATATTTATTCAGTGATGGATGTTCAAGTTTTACTTCAAATAGATAGAACTGAACCCCTTAGAGGAAACTCTAAGTCCTCACAATCACAGAGGGCCAAATTCTGCTCCTGTTTTGTGGAGGAAAAGCTAATCCTGATGACCTTGCTTGATTAATCAGGATATGGGCAGGTATAACTGAGAGCAAAATTCATTCTACACTCTGAGGAGTGAATTCATGGACATGAGACTGGTGGAAGCAGTTTGTGAATGAGCAGGGTTCTGAGTACCCAATAACCCTTTCTGAACAGTAGCACATCCAGTCAGGCCTTTGATATAATTCTCAGATATCTGACTCAGTTAAGCAGCACCATTTCTAAGAATTAAATCATACCATTTGAGGAAAAGAGCTTTCACTAAAACATCTGACATTTACCTGTGAATACAACTGCAAGAGTGACCCAATAGATTGCTTTAAAATGTTGGGACTGTGGAGGTTCAGAATGAGGAAAAAAGTAACTTGTTTCATGACAAAACCTGCATATATTAGCTGCAGATATGGAAAATGGACTGCATTCACATATAGTGTATTGTCTATATAAAAAAATTCCAAGACTCACTTGACTTAGTGCCGTAAAACCTCCTAATGAGTAACTACATATTTTGCAAGCAGTTCAGATCTGAAACATCCATGAAAATAGACACTTGCTAATCTTTTTCACTCACGCCAAGGCAAGTTGGCCTTTTGTGCAGGTGGTAGAAATTGCTATATGGCTGCAAGTCTGCATTCCTACCTAGGCAAGACTATCTAGCTAACTAGACAGCTGGCTATCCACAGTATTCACTTCTGAGGCAAATATTATTCTAATATTTAAGATTTTTGTATGCATAAAATCAGGCCGGCATAGTTTCTGATAGAAGAAGGATCTTCCCTCTTTAGCCATGAAATTTCTCACTTTGATATCTCATTTTTGCCATGAAAACTCCTGTTACCCTGATTTTGCCTAAGTGAGGAGGTCTGTAGGACTCACTACACGTGCATGAATATACAGTGGAATTTTGAGAGGGATATTTGTTCTTTACACTTGCCTAATTCCCATAAAGAAGCCTATGTGAGGTCTTCAGACCAAATTCTTCCTACACGTACATGAAAAACAAGCAAGTTCCAAGGCTGCAGAACCATCACGGATGTGCACATACATTTGGGTGGCATGCTGCCTCTGAAAGGGACGTTTGGCCACCTCCAGATTGTTACATAGCTGTTTTTGCTGGACTCATTTCTCTTCTCTGTTGCCCATCCAGTCAAAGGGTCCCCTCTGGTAATAGCGGGTCTTTGCAGAAAGGACCAGTTGTCTGTTCATGCATCTTCATACATGGCCCCTTATGTTGCCCCTAGGAAAATGGAAAGGCTGCTCTTCTCAGAATCTTATTTATGGTTTTCTTAGCTGTGCCAAAGCCATCATCGCCACGTGTCACTGAAGTCTGTAAACTAACAACTGCTTACCTCTCAAACTAGTCTACTGCCTCATGCCAGCACTGCACAGTCCCTGGGCTGCGGCATTTCCCCCAGGTCCTTGCACTAGCATGGGAGGTCTGTCTTAACGAACCCTCAAATTGATCTGCAGAGCATTCCCAAGTAGGATGTACACATAAAGCATTAAACTCAGTGGTGCGTAGCCCGGAGCAGAGAAGGTAAGCCGTGTTACCAGCAGCTCTACTTTACAGAGAATTCCCGACACTGGGCAGGCCCTCTTGGATGCTGGGGAGGTTCGGGAAAAGGAGGGATAGCTCAGCGGAGGCATTCCTCAGTTTTCTCCAGCACCTGGGCACATGCAGGAAGGATTGATGGCTGCTGGCCCCAGGTTTGCTGCCCATGTTTCTTACAGCAGTGGATGCTGGCAGGCATGCAGGACAGGCAGAAACTGGGTCATGGTCTGAGCAGGGCGCATTAGTGCCAGTATTTTACTTGGAGATGTGCAGATGCCCTGTGGGTGGAACGCCCTGCGCCGCCTTCCCTGCTCCTTTTCCGCAGGACGTTCATATAAGCTGCCGCAATGTTTTGCCTGTAGGGAATATGTTGTGTCTGAACAGTCGAGTGTGTGTGGAGGGGGGATTTTTACAGACACAGAGAGCATGCATATGGACATACATCAGGGGGCCTGGATGTTGAACAGCTTGCTATTTAAATGCATACGCGTGCAAGCTAATCTGCTCAGTAATGGCTAGCTGAGCGGACAGAGCTGCGTACTCTCTGGAGATAAGAAAGCTCTGCTCTTAGTTTTCTGACAAAATTTCTCTAAAAACAAACATCATGAGAGCAGACAAGGCCTCCTCCTGGGAACATGTATGAACTGCTCCTCATGTCTTTCTTACTTTGCATATGAGGATAGTTACATGTAACTGCTTCCACATGAACTGCAACTGCATCCTTGAATTAGTGCTTTTTAATGACATTGCTCATTCCAAATGATGCTACTTTTGTATACTCTCTCGTATCCCATTGAGTGTTGCAGGCAGTAATGTGCTGCTTTATGAGCGTCCCATGTCTTCCAATTACCTCGTCATCTTCAGGTTTCCACCTCAATTCATGTTCTAAATTGTTTCAAAGAAAGGCAGACTGGAAAGCTTCTACAAACATCATGCTGCAAAAGCTAGCTCCAGAGCTTCCCACACTTACAGGGCTATGGCTGTGAAATATGGCTGTACACTGTTATTTGGATAATAGCGTATCCAAGGCTTTTGTGGCTATTGTGGTGAAGTAGTGCCAGGACTCAGCGCTAGAAACATTACACAGGTCAGCGCAGCCAGTGTTAGGCTAAGGCAAATAGATTAATATACTCTCAGTATAATTCAGTGCTAAGATGCCATAGAGTACTGTAATAAAGTGGCACCAGGGCAGACATAAAAAGTCACAGTAAGCTGACATAATAATACCAGGACAAATGTAGCAATAAGGTAACACAGGCCACTGCAGTAAAGTAGCATTTTGATAATGCAGCAATAAGACACAACAGGATGCTGCAGTAAATTAGTTTGGGGAATAAAGCAGTAATAAGCGTGTGTGCAGATAAACTGTGGTGCACTTGTACCAGGTACTGCAGCAATAAAGATAACACAAGGTGTTCTAGTAATAAGTTACTACAGTAACAACAAGATAATGCACTGTAAAGTTATATTAGGATGCTTCAACGCTGCAGTCAAATCCTACAAGACACAGAAGTGAGACTAGGAAGACAAAATCTGCTCCACTTTGGACGAAAAAAGTCAGTTTTCTGCATAGTAACCAAAAATTTTGAAATGATCTCTGCAATACCAATGCTATTGCTCTCTGCTTTTGAGGAAGCTGAAGCAAGAGCATTCCACCATCCCAGTCACTGCTTTGTTCTGAAAATAGGAAACTGGCTCATTGGCTATTCAGTCAAATTGTTGCAGACCATGGTGAAGTTCTTCAGTTAGTCCTTACTCAAAAACCCCAGTAATTTCAGTGGGACCTTTGCCTTGGAAAGGGTTTGGCGTTATCATCTTCCAGCATGGGTGATGCTTTTAGCCTACAATTATTTATGTTTTGGGGTGGGGGAAGGGGAACCCAGATACAAAACCTCTGACTGTACTGGTCTGTTTCCTGAAATGCACAAATAAATTGAGCATCCTGGAAAAGTCAAAGCAGTAAGGACCAAATCTTTTCTCTCTATCGTGCACACGTATGGACATGAATAATCCCACTGAAATCCATGCAAGTCTCATATGCATCCAAGGGCAAAGTTTGGCCTAAAACAGGGACCTTTCTTCGATGTCTCCAGCTGAGTGATGGAGAGGTGTCCTCTCAAATCTGATTTCTTTATCTTATCTCCTTTCCTCTCTCCTCCCCCCTACTTTTTTTATTTAATATTGCCTTTGTATGAAAAGTCCTTAGAATAAATCAGTTTGCTCTAAGATAACATATAGCATGGTGGGCAAAGAATAGCTGTGTCCATTTGCTGTCTTTGTACCTTTCAGTAAAACTACAGCCACTGTTATGTTCAATAGTAATCAGACATAAGGGTTTGGTCAAAGCATCCATGTCAAGAGCAAGGCTTGTACAGAGTGTATATGTTAGCTAACAAGAAGGTGTCCTGGGAGAAGGATGTAAAAAGGGCACCACTGCAAACTCTTGAATGACAGGAGCAGATCACAGCTGGTTCTGGCTCCATGAACCAGTCCCATCAGATACTAAAGGTCTGCCACGTCTTTCTGACTCTCAGCTAGGCAGCTTTGCTATTCCTTTATGGGATCCAGCTTCCTCTGTCAATAGCTGACTGTGCTCCATTCAGGTTTTGAGCAGTGCTCTGATATGCCTTGGCTTGGCTCTGTCCTCAAACTTCTTGGCTTGTTCTTATTGTGGTTTAATTATTAAGCAGGATTATTAAAGTAGAGCTCATAGTAAGTTAAGATAGGCTAGGTTATCATGATTTGGTAGTTTAAGCTGTGAGTGATTTTGCAGTTTCTCAACGTTGTTTACAACCTGAGACAGAGAATAAGTCAAGGCGGCTGCTCAGCAGAACCGTTAGTTGTTGAACAATACGCTATCTTCATGCCCATATGTACTTTGAACTTACTGGTGAGGAGAAATGCTTTGTAGTCAGAAAAGTAATCTGACAGCAGGAGAGAGTCAAACCTGATCAACTTTTCCATGTGAAATAGATTTTGCTTTGCCAGCCTCTAACATCTGCAAAGCTCACAGCTAAGAGCCAGCAACCTTCTAATCCTGCTGCTAAGTGCTGGAAAACAAGCTTTTTAAAAGGCAGTCTTTACATGACTATCCTGTTAGTTGGATGCTTTTAAGATGAATTTATGGCTATTTCCATAAGTGTGAGTGCAGTTGCCCTTTTGCCTTTGTGATAGGAAACCGAGGATTCACCCCACACAAAGGGAGGGATGTTGGCGGGCAGAATTTAAGGGAGAAATCTGCTGGCAATTGAGTAAAATTGAGCTGTGCACATAGGAGTCAAATGCCATTTGAGGTGGTTAAAAGTGCCTAGGTTATTCACACAAGGTTGACAGCTGGATGACACTGGATTTACTAGTGCATTCCCATCTGGAGGCCCAGAAAGATACCCTGGAGCTTCTCATGTGATGCAGGACAACTCTCCGTGGGCAATCACACTGATCCCTGAATGTTGCTATCCTTCAGTAGACAGGTTAAACTGAGCTTTCATCTCTCGTCTTTGGGGACTTAAACCACTTCATGCTTTCCATAAACAGTGGGAAGCAGGCCTGATGAGCACCTTTTTGGCTGGACTAGGAAATCCTTGCCTGGACTGGGATTTCAGGAATGATCATTCCCTTCTGCATTCTTGTCAAGAATCCTCACATCCATCTACGTGCAGGTTATTCTTGCATGACATATAGCTTCGTAGGCCCTGCACTGTTGGTATCTGATTCCTGTCATAATTCAGCATGAGTCTAATGCCACACAGATTAAGGCGTGCCAGATAAAAAAATTCAGATGATGCTTTATACAACACATCATTTCCCTTGAGAACGGCTGAGGTTCTGAAACATCTCCCTGGGCTGTTCTGAGGTCACTTGGGGCTACGTATGGAAAAACATGGCACTGCAGGACTTTTCTTTAAAGGGAAAAAAAT